GCGGACCATGGGCCCATGATAAAAATATTCTCGACTATGACGGATGGGCCGGGAGGCAAATTATTCCCGATGGAGGCGGGTGGGCCCATGCAGGGAATATATAGAGTAGATGAGTGGGCCGATGTAAATGAATATTAGGTAGACGGGTGGGCCGAGGTAGCTGGATATTATGCAGATGGGTGTATTAAGGTAGATGTGTATGAGATAGATGGGTAGGTACTTGTTATCACATTCACGGGTGGGCCCAGACACATATTAAATTAGATGGGTGGGCCGAGGGTATTATAAAATATTGTATTATACGGGTGGGCCCAGACACATATTAATTAGACCGGTGGGCCGAGGGTGTTGTATGGGATGTTGTATTAGACGGGTGGGCCGAGGGTGGTATAAAATATAGATGGGTGGGCCCATGTGTATCATAATTGTAGACATGATGGAGCTGAGGTAGTTGTACATCAACCAAATCAGAGGAGGTAATAAATCAAAGTTACCAAGTTCCCGGAGCATCAGGTGATCTCCTGACATGGCAGTGCGAAGCTTGTGTTGCCCAACGAGACGCCAAGTTCCGGCCACCAGAATTTGAGTCAACTGTACCGAGTTCCGAGTTCCGGGACCCGGAACTCACCACATAAGTTGGTTAATACTTTTTGATGGTGCACAGGTTGTCTTGCAGAATGTGGAATCCGGGGTGCGAAGCTTGTGTTGCCCTACGAGAAGCCAAGTTCCGACCACCAGAATTGGAGTCAACTGTACCGAGTTCCGAGTTCCGGGACCCGGAACTCAACACATAATTTAGTTAATACTTTCCATGTTAAATGGCCAACCGAAGTTCAGATGTTTCTGAAGAGAGCAGCAGGTGCTCTCTTGACATGGCCTCTGATGGTGCTTAGGTTGTCTTGCAGAATATGGAATCCGCGGTGCGAAGCTTGTGTTGCCCTACGAGAAGCCAAGTTCCGACCGCCAAAATGTGAGTCAACCATACTCAGAGGAGGTAATAAATCAAAGTTACCGAGTTCCCGGAGCAGCAGGTGATCTCCTGACATGGCTGTGCGAAGCTTGTGTTGCCCTACGAGACTCCAAATTCCGACCACCCAAATATGGGTCAACCGTACCGACCTCCGAGTTCCGGGACCCGGGAGTCGACAAATGAATATCTGATGACCAGCGAGTCAACCTTACTCAGAGGAGGTAATAAATCACAGTTACCGAGTTCCCAGAGCAGCAGGTGATCTCCTGATATGGCAGTACGAAGCTTGTGTTGCCCTATGAGACGCCAAATTCCGACCACTCAAATATGGGTCAACCATACCGACTTCCGAGTACCGGGACCCGGGAGTCGACAAATGAATATCTGATGACCAGCACACTTCCAATCAGGTAGTATTTCATTGAGCAATGGATAATAATACATCTTTGACAGCGGCCAAAATTATCCATGGCTCCCTTATCTGATCCTCTCTATCTCCACCCCCTATAACACCAAAGTCCGGACATCCAGCATTCAGTGTCTGATTTCCCAAGATTAACATCCAGCATGAACGGTTCTTCCCCTTCCCCTCCTGATAGCATAAACATCTGGCGCACTTGGGCCCTGACTGTGACTTATGAAGCAGGGGAATATACTGAACAGAAATTCAAGGCAGAGAAGACTGGAGGAGGCCCAGTCATACCTTCCCCCAACCTAGACACTGATCTGGTGATGGTGTGCGATCGCTTGGCTGATGTACTCATAAAGGCATCTAAAAATCCCAGTGGGTCTTCCTGCAGATTCGGAAAATTCTATTTATCATTCAAATTCCTGCATGACAGTTCAGATGCAGATGGATATTGCAAGATATAGCAAATTGATCTCCCCGAAGGACACCGGGCATAATGAACATAAAGAGGCGAGGTTGCTTGAGAGGTGTCCTCCTGGCCATGAAGGCAAAAGGTTGGTCGATGAACCTGCAATAATTCTTGATGCATCCGGTGCCATCATTGCATGGTATCTCCCAGACGCCCTGACAGACACCACCCAGGTGTGTAATATACATTGTTACTCAATGGATATCGAATATTAATGGAACCTACAGAAGGAAATCAGGGAGGCCACCTATTTGCTCTCTCCAAGCCTCGAAAAAAGTGTAAGGGCTGATGGCAATTGGCGAACTAATCAAAGGTTGTTCAACTGGGGCTCGGAAGATGTTGGAGCAACTCCCAGATGCATCAATCTATCTCCGGCATGGTTTCAACAGGGACACGAGGTAGGATCTGATGAGATGGTGATTCCGGCAGTCATACTTACCAATCCCAAAGAATGTGTCAGATCCGGAGGTATCTGCATCATTGAAGGGACCTTCCTGCGAGAATATCCTCAAAGCCATTGCAAGGCCAGCAGCCATCGTGTCTGCGGCACTCAGAGTCATGCATCCTGAGCAGTACTGGGCAGGGTTGAGAACCTTGTCAAACCTTGGAAATATAGCAGTAAGCAAGGATCTGCCACAGATGCCGGAGGCCCTGCAGTACTGGGCATCCGTGTTTAACACCCTCTCCATCATTTCCAATCGGGAAACCCCCCATCATCGAGACCACATGTCCATTGCTGAATGCTTCGACATTCTCACCACTGTGGGGGACTATTCTAATGCTCGGATGACAATGCCAAACCTTCAGCTGGAGTTCAAGTACAATTCCGGCTGTATGATTGCGTTTTCCGGAAAGATTGTGAGACATGGAGTGTATGATGTGGAAGGGGATCGGATTGCTTGGGCATGGTATATGAGGGATGCTGTTCATATTTATGCTGGTGTTCCATCATGTGGATGGGCTAGTGTGGATGGTCCATACAGCATGTGAAAGATCAAACAAAGAGCAAGCATTGTGACCTATATACATTCCAACAAATGAATACCATGTACCAATTGTGATCCGGACCTCAATACTCAATTTTGAGCATTTCCCAAGTGATATGTGGGACTAAATAATTTGGATGCAAGCCTCGGTATTCGATAATTGGAACTCGGGACTTGACATATGGGAGTCTGGAGTGCCGGGGTACTTAGTCCCGACACCCGGACCTCAGCACGTGATATTTGAGACTGGGGGAAGATGTATAAATACGCTCGAATTAACATTTGTTATTTCCATACACATTTAACAAAACCCTGAACCCCGACATTGTGGACTCCGGACTCGACACTGTTCTGAATACCGAGTTCCGGACGCCCAGGTCCCGAGTCCCGAATTTCGGAGGTCGGGGCTCGGAGACCCAGAGCTCGGCAACTGTGTTGGGTGTCAGGGTATCCAGACCATTGGAGATAGCATGTGTGAGTATTTTGCGTTTCATGGTTTATGTTGGGTGAATATGGAATTGGGGATCAGGGACTCGGTATTCAGAACAGTGTCAAGTCCCAGGTCACGAGCTCCGAGTCCCGAGTGCCGAACCCCGAGTCCCGAGTCCCGAATTTCGGAAGTCGGGGTTCGGCGACCCGGAGCTCGGCAACTGCTGGGTGTGGGTTTCGGGACTCGGGACTCGGAGCTCATGACCTGGGACTCAACACTGTTCTGAATACCGAGTCCCTGACACCTGATTCCATAATCACGAAACATAAACCATGAAACTTAAAATACTGACAAATGCTATCTCCAATGCTCCGAGTACCCTGACACCCAACACAGTTGCCGAGCTCCGGGTCGCCGAACCCCGACTTCCGAAATTCGGGACTCGGGACTCGGGGTTCAGCACTCGGGACTCGGAGCTCGTGACCTGGGACTTGACACTGTTCTGAATACCGAGTCCCTGATCCCCAATTCCATATTCACCCAACATAAACCATGAAACGCAAAATACTCACACATGCTATCTCCAATGGTCTGGATACCCTGACACCCAACACAGTTGCCGAGCTCCGGGTCTCCGAGCTCCGACCTCCGAAATTCGGGACTCGGGACCTGGGCGTCCGGGACTCGAATGTGAGATTTTTGAATGCATAGAATATGTTACATCTTGTATACAATGAAGACTGAATGGGACTACACTCCTTTGCCTTTCCTCAATTTCTCTAACATGTCAGTGTACATCTTCACCTCTCCCATCTTAGCTTCGATGCCCTGATCTTGCTCCTCCAGCAATGCTTCCATGCGTTCTTTGATGAATCTCAGTCCCATGAGTGGTGGAGTCGAAGTGTTTTTCAACTTCTCTGGAAGTACCAAAGCATCATCCTCAACATTAAGCTGAAACAGATAAGTCATCAATCAAGGTAATTCAGCTGACATCTTACCGCCCAATACTGGTAGTGAGAGACGCAGGAAGCCATTATTTCATCCCACTGCCATGGTTGATCAGGGATTGTGGTGTTTCCCATCCACCATGGACATGTATATGCAAACACAATCCGGGACGGATGTCCTGCAATTGGCTCATCATGAAATGAAAGGAGGTGGAATGAAAAGACGTCGTCCGGAACAGTGTTCCAGGTCAGCATGGGATACAACTTAAGGATATAAGCGACAGGGACCGGAAGAACCGACACGATATTCTGTGAAGCGGAGTACTGCAGGAGTGGTGTGACAAATGTCTGCTCAAATTCTTAGCATTGACCAACAAAGTCATCAGGGCAGTGGTGACATACATTCATCTCCCATTGCAGCCCGGCTTTAAAATACTTGATCCGGTCAGCAGATAGACCATTGTTGGCAGCTTCCGTCCGATATTGAGAGATGATTGCATGGACGCGCGATCCAGCCATTGCCAATGTGCAGGAAATAGTTGCAAGGCTCAGCTTCAGAGGTCGGTAATGGCTTCCGGGATTCAGAGTGCCAGAAGTGGATGCATGAGATGCAGACATGGCTAATACAGGACTATGGCGCTGGCAATACAAGTGAAAGATGGTCAAGATGTGAAGATAAGAATCACTGATGGATGGATACGAAATTCAAACTCCGACATGGGCTGACCCGGACAATTCCCGGGCGTCAATTATGTATGTGGAAAAAGGGACTTCATGAGAAAACAATGTTCATTCATCTCCAGCCTCTATCAACACGTTTTGTAGGTCTTGAAAAGCTGCCTGCGCATCCTGTGCCAGCAATGAATACATGTGGGATTGCCTTCCGGCGTAGCATCCGTGACCCGGAAGTCGTTTCTCCAATGATTCCTGCATGTGCTCGCCCCATATGGTTGTTTTCCACAAAAAGAACTTACATGTCCAATCCATCTCGAATGTGACCAATAGCATTTCTTCCCTCCATCGATCCCGTAGTGCCTTTGCCCTCAGCCAATGGACTCGGTAAACTTGGCATGGGTCCAGTCAGGTAACCGCGGGATATGACATGCAAGCGGGAACTCACATTCTTCATTCCACGATTGATCAGGACCCCCGAGGTCGACTTCAACAGACCAAAACCAAGCCAAAGATTCATTTCGTTGACCTCGGGCATTTGGGTCGCCCACTGCAGTGCTGATTTTGAGTTGCTCGCGAAGCAGGGGTTTGTATTTCTGAAGCTGGTCTTGCCCCGGCTCAAGTTTCATCATTTGCTTCCTTGTCTTTGTATATATGCTGGCATGGAGGGAGACTGCCTGCTGCACCGACGTCACCTGGGACCAAGCTCGAGTTTTCAGGGCCTGGGAATTGGCCTGCCTAACGGTTGTTCGGAACAGGATGGCCTTGTTGCAAAGGTAAATGCGGAGATTGTGAAGGGCATCATTGGCCTGCCCTTCACGAAGCGACATCTCCAGGGGAATCAGATCCTCTGCCATGCATCGTCTGCATCTGTCAACCCCCAGGTTTGATGGCAATGGGATTACAGTTAGCTCGGGAGAGTTTGTCCATGTGTGAGATGTCTCTGTGAAATCCGCCGGGTCATCATCGAGATCATCTAGAATGTCTACGTCCAAGTCTTCAGGTTCATCATCTGCATCAAATCCATCTATCTGGCCTTGGAGCCGATCTCTTTGACGGGCGATGTCTAATCTCTGTGTCTCGGTGGATCTTCTTCCAATCCTTCGGACCTCGATGAGCAATGCAATCTGAGCCTCTTCAATTGCTAACCCTGTTGATATCCATGTCGCCACAGATCTGCGAGAGGGTGCTGCATTGCGGGCGTTACCCTCCTCTAACAATCTAAGCTCGATCTCCTTTTTGCTAGGTGCTGAGTGCAATATTAATTCACTCCTCGACGGAGACAATGGAACTCAACGTACCCTTTTTGATATTGATCTCATATTCATCCATGGCTGAAGGATCATTCAATCTGCTTGACTGAGCTATCCTCTCCCTGGCTAACCATTCTGTCTTCAAATGTGAGGGTGCTGCTTCATCGAGTCTGTCGAATGCCTTTCCACTTTCTAAGATACCATTCCTAGCCAGTTTGTATTTCCGGCATAGAGTCCTTTTCATGCGAATCATCTTGCAGAAATTGGAGTCATTCATCTGATAATCAAGGCATTCCTTTCGGTGGGGAGATGACATTCCCCGAGCAGCAGGGGAGATCAAATTGAGCCGTGCCCATAGCGTCTCCATGATCTCTCCATCGATCCGACCAATGCCTTCAATAAAGTTAGAAGCATATCGGACATAGCAGCTGTCCTGATGGCCATGAACGTGCCACAACCCAATTCCGGGAATGATGGTTAGTTGTGGTGCCATTTCTAGAAATCGACTTCGATCCACCCGAACCAGAAAGTGTTTGTTGTATTGACAATTAATATCATAGAAGGTGACAGCCCTGGTGATGCCTTCCATGTTGTGCTGGGAAGCCTCGCAAAGGGCATAGTCCATGTTCATTTGTCTGCAAGTGACCCATGGTTAACTCGTGAATGGGGAATGGTGGATGTGGCTTGCCTTTCGCCTTTCTGAAAATCCACCATGGAGTGAGGGACAAAGCAACCGTGTCTGGCACAGGCAACTCCCCCGATACCGGTGGACTCCAGCTTGTGCCGAGCAGCATTAGCTTGATTTACTGCCCGGTGATTGTTGCAGCTTGATTTTTCCACTGTGTCAGCAGCCTCTGCCAGGTGCATTTTATACCTGTCCTTTCCCACCATGAATCCAAGCCCATCGGACAGCCAAACTTCATCGAATGGCTTAATGGGATGCAGATGTTCGGCTTTGAAATTTCCGTCCATCACAAATGACCGGGTGTATTTCCAGCTTGGATCCCTAGTATTATTATGGAGGCCACATAGGTTGAGAATAGGACTCACTCATCAAGAGATTCATCCTCTGACAACAGCACATTAATCCCAGGCTGAGGACATGCCGGGCAAAATAATGCAAGTTCTCCTGTGCTCGGGTTATCAGAACGATGGCCGAAGCCATGCCATTTCATTGTCTTCAACTGCCTCCACTGTCGAGCGACCCTCATGAGCTCTCTGTATCGGTCCTTGCAATGTGCTTTGTCAATTCATTTCCATTAATGGCTCAGGGTCCAATATGGGCCAATTAACCTATCATTAGGCTTTGCTCAAAGTTCAACTTCGCACAATTCATTAATACTTTCACCTTGAAAATCCTTAGCCATTTCTGCATTTTGATTCACTATGGCAAGAACAGGTCATTCCACCAACACGACTTCCGGAAGACACAGGATGCATCAACCACAGTCTCAGAAGCTCACGGACAAGGAGATTTTGGAGTTGAAGAACTACCTTCCTGAGTGGACTGCTGCCAAAAGGAGTGAGAAGCGAGCGATTTTCACTGCCATAGCAAGGGCGGCCAGGTTGTTTGCTCCGAAGTTGGACCAAAAACAATGGAAAAAGAGGAAGCAGGTGAGGCTTCTTTGTTGCGTTGAAAAACTAAATTTTTAATGTCACATTCTTTCATCAACTCTTAGGTGTACAAGACTTGGTTGTTCAACAACAAGAAAAAGAAGGAAAGGAAGGACATGATCAAGTATGGGAGGAAATGGACTCCCAGGATGGTGGTCTACCAGCAAAAATGCGAAGAGGTGCTGAAGAGGATTGAGGATGAGTCCGGGGTAAAGCCAGGAGATCCTGGTATGTTCAAACATTATCAGGCGGCGGTGAAGAGAGTCATGGCTGAATTGGACGACGACGAGTTGGAGAAGGCTAAAGAAACAGCCGAAGAGTGGTCCAACAACTGTCCGCCTCCGGAGATACAAGCACAAGTCGCTCGTAAGAAGGGTCCGGCATATATGGAGCACTTTTCGAACGAGATGTGGAGGCAATGTGGGATGAGAGTGTTTGTGATGTCGGCTTGGAAGAATGAAAAGGGCGAGGTGCTGTTCGGGATGTGAGTACATTTATCCATAGATGGAGATTTTTCGTCTCAAAATATTCATGCAGGCATGATGATAATGAGGCCTTAGGAGATGGGGACAGCTTCATGAAGACGAAGGACTGGGAGGACATTGAGCCAGTGTGGCAGGAGTACGCGCAGGAACAGTTCGGTGAGTGTGTGAACCATGTATACCAGATTGAACATATTGAGCATCACAATGATAGGCGCCGGGGCACGGGATGGAGGACGTCAGGTCAAGGGAGGTCGAAAACGAATTCAAAAACCAGCCTTCGAACTCGAAATGGACGGGGAGGGTATGCCACTCCTTCCGGACATCACCGACACCAAACTTGAGGAGAAGAAGGCCATAGTAAGGGCCTTTCTTACATTGCACTATCGTGAGTTTGTCGTCGCATCACCTGACAAATTGTTCAATGCATGGACAAAGGGATATGCTCCGGGAAGGACAAGGCGGTTGTGCCATGGAGTGCCATTGTACAAAGTCAGGATGACTTCGTGGCCCGGACGTATCTTCCGGCGGATGTTGACTTGAAGGAACCTTCGAAGCTGCAAATTTGGGACACCACTACCTTGCTCCAGTTTTGGCTCGCTCGGCAAGAAACAGGCGAAGGGCCCACATTTCTGTTCAAAGCATGGAAGAACAAAGATGGGGACATGGTACCATCTGTCATATCTGGCAACTCGCCCTCTCCTCAGACTCGTATAGTGAGAAGGCAACAGAGGGTTACCATCCGAAGGCCTCGGGAGTCATCGACAGAAGCCGAGAGTGATAAGGAGAGTGCCACTCATCATACGGAGCATAATGTGGATGATGACCTGGCTGACGGGAGACCTCCGCTGAAGAAGCCCAGGACGGGAGGTCCTACACCCAGAGGGCCGGCAGTCCCACGTCCAATTCCAAAGCCTCGCCCGGCCAAGCCGGCCAAAAAAGGTGCATTACTGACATCACGATTGGGAGACCTCCTCGCTGGGTTAACTGACAACGCGACGGGCGAGGTTAGAGATGATGTCGAAATGGAAGAGAGTATCACACCGCCAGCACAGAAAAGGAGGAGGGGCACTCGAGTCACTGTTGAACCATCCACGAGGACGACCCGGAGTAAGTTGCAAATGCCAGTAGACAGTACACCTAGAGTCACCAGAGCACGGGGACGCACTTAATGTACATATATGTTCCTGCCCTCATGTGTAATGTCATATGTGCTATTATGTATATGTCAAAGTACTAACAAACAAATTATAATTGCCAAATGCCAAATCTCGAGTACCAAGGCCCGAGTACCGAACCCTGAATACCGAAGCCTGAACGCCGGTCACCGAGTACCAAGGCCCGAGTACCGAACACCGAGTACCGAGCCCCGAGGCCCGAGTTCCTAGACCCGAGTTCCGAGGCCCGAATTCCGAGCCCCGAGTACCAAGCACCGACTACCGAGCCCCAACTGCTGAGCCCCAACTACCGAGCCCCGAGTACCGAGCCCCAAGTACCAAGCCCCAAGTACCGAGCACAGAAAACCTGGCAGCGAGTACTGGGTAGGTAGAATATACAAGTACCAAGGACTACCTACTGAGTAGTACTGCAATGTGTCTACTATCAGACATTGATCAATATTTACATGTTACTTGAGTCCTCAAAGGCCTCAATGAGGGTATCCAATACCTTCAGCATTTCGGAGGTTGACTCCCTTACCCTTTGCATTCTCCAGAGGTCCGCATCTGCTTTCCGCAGCTTGTCGCATGTTTCAGCCCATGCCATCCTGAATGGTCTGTCAGCCTCAAGAATTTGGGCTACTGTAGGGGCAGGAAGATTTCCATGACGCTGTTCGTAATCTCCCAGGCGATCTACAATTGATTGAACTTGCAGGATATTAGCAGGGATAAATAATCAAATGTTGTATACTTACTTTCAGCTTGATCATAAGATCCGATTGGCATGAACTCCCGAACCATGGCACGCAGGGCTTCATTGTTGAGTTCCGGCTCGGGCGATTGACGTTCGGGAGCTTCTGACATAGCTTAGAAGATAGCATGAGTAAAGCACATGAAATGATATGAATATACCTACAAGGTATGGGTGCACCTGGTACACCCGGAGTGGCCGGATCGGGCTCCGGAGTTGATTCATTCACTGGGGAAATGCCATGAAAGGTGACCATGGGATTGAAAGGGTAATCTCACCAGCCATAGGAAAATCGGGTATAACCGGAGCATCATCAGACGAAATCAAGGTATCCTCCGGACCAAGATACAAGTCCGGGTCATCATACAGGGCCAGTCCATCCGCCAGAGCCGGAGATGATGGATCTGGAGATATGTGATGAATTTGCACATGTAAAATATGTAAATTTGAATTGGAAAACATACCGGGAATTACATTCAACACATCCAAACCACCGGACGATCCAGAATCAGAGTCTAACTCATCATCCGGCCCAAGGTATATATCATCTAATGGATCTGAACCATGTCAGATCAATTGACTGAAATCAGAAAAAACAAAACATACCAAGGGACATCCGGGACTGGGAGGACTCATCCACATCCATTAAAGTGAATTCAGTGACCAGAGGGTCATGAAATCTGACCCCAGGTTGAGAGCTCATGATATCTGATGAGCTGATGCACTGATGAACTGATTGATAACTGATAACGTCGAAGTTCAACAGATGGCCGGCGATTGCCGAAAGTTGAACGATGACCAAACAAACACAAACAATCAACGAATTTTCAACATTGTCCTTCAATTGTATTGTTTCTTTGAAACTTCATTCTATTGATAACAGATTTCACCCTGCTTTCAACATTCTCACATCTG